ATCCATAAGACGTATTGAGACGAACTAATCCTTAATCCATTTCCTCAGGTCCCCAATGGACACGTTTAAATTTTGTTGACCTACCAATGGATCTTAAAGCAATGTTGGTTTGCTAAGTCTATCATTTTGAATACATGTCTCTTTTCATTGTATGACTTGAGAGGAAGGAAGTCGGAACCTTAAATTGTAATCTATGAAGAATGCATGTCTTAAGAATGCAATCCGATTTAATAGTTTCAGGAAGAAATCAAGTTGTTTAACTCACACAGCATTCCTTCATCGTCACTACTTTCTTCTTCTCGAGCAACATACTGCAAAAATAAACAAATTCACACCAAATGGTTAATCCATAATTATGGAGCATTTCAAATGCCTCTACCAATTTAAATTTAGGCACAAGAAGTTAAGGTATTCAACTTTTTTCTTAATTTTGGGGGTAATGTTAGCATGCAATGCCATGGCAAAGAAAGACAACTGAGACAATTAGTAGATGATGTTAGGATCTTAGGCTCTTTTTTTTCTATATTATAACTAAAGGATACAAAAAAGGAACTTTTTCACTCTTGCTTATTGACTTATAAAAATATTAGCATTGAACTTATGTTCTTCTAGGAACTTTATATTTTTGCCTGACAGCGAAGAAGAGATTTTCCCTTTGTTTCTTGGCAAGAAACTTCAGATTCAATGGCTAACTTAAATCTACAATCACTTTATCCCACATCAACTGGATTATGCATCCATAAGTGAAACAAAAAGCCAATTACCATGTCATCATCATCATCGGAGGCCAAATCAGCTGCCAAGGACCAAAAGGCTCCAGTTAGATCCAATATAATCATAACTTAAATATGAATGTTAAACATCAGAAATAGAATTATCCATAAGATGCAGAAAAGGAAGTAATGAATAGACAAGTAACGCTCCAGCATTAGGACCATATGATAAACCCTATGTTACTCAAACTTGGGTGTGAATGCTGAATATGGGTATCATATTTAATTTTTCAAAGTTTTTCCATGTATTTGGAGGACCCTTGGTCAATTGTACTCCTGGCATCCATGTCCAAATATATTTGGACATGGGTACTCCGAGAAAATGAAGAGTCGGAGCAACATAAGATAAAACTCAAAATAACTTAAGACAGAGGGCAGAACAGGAGTTTTTCACACATATATGTATCAGAAAATAAGAGTATTCATGTGGTTCCAAAATTATAAAATATCAGATTAAGATATAAATGTACTAGCACCAATATAGGCTGGAAAGGCGTGGACGAAATAGAATGAAAATAATTGTACAATGGTAAATGCTTCACCGATGTTGAAATGAATAAGTAAAACAAAAGCAAGTATATAATCAATAAGCAGTTTGGGTTCTTAGAAATAAGCAGGAGTGCAAAGTTTGCATGCAAGGCAGGTTACACAAATAGGAGAAGTTAATAGATTAAAAAACTGAAATAAATGATTAAATAACTTACAATTTGGATCTTCGTTGTCTTCATCACACCATTTGTTCCAATCAACCTTGATGTAAGGTGCAGGTTTCTCTTCTGACTTTAACAATCTTTTCCACCACCCTTTTTCTTCTTTCATGATCGAGCATATTATATTCCTTAAACCAACATTAGTTTTGCAACCCTGAGCAATACGCAGGATAGGTTTTTGATGAAAGTCCGAAGAATTTCCTTAAACAAAAATTAAATAAAAGATATGAAAATAACAACTATAGTTACTGGAAAGCAGTAAAAGAAAACTTCTGTTCATATATATATATATATATATATATATATATATATATATATATATATATATATATATATATATATATATATATAAAAATGAGAGATCTCTTTAAAAAATTCCTTCATAACCCTTAAACTACTAAAATAGCTCGACGAACATTATAAGGAAGAAAAGAGTACCTCAACAATTTTATTCCTGTAAAACCAAGTACATCCAAATTCCAATACACCCATACATAACCAAAATACAACCTCATGAACAACTCAGTCTACATTCCCAGCTTATCTAAAACCTACTCTCTATTGGAACCAGCTTACCATTAAACCAACTTAAGCTTCCTAATCAAACCAAAACAGAAACAGAAACTACACATAATTACCCAATACCCAACTTTGCAAGCTCATCCGCCTTCCAATTACAACATCTCTGAGTGTGCCTGAGGATAACATTTTTATTTGCCACCACTGCACAAATTTCCTTCACTATAGAGTCGAACAAGGCTGGGCAAGAACCAGGGTTTTTAGTCCACTCCAAAGCCTTCAAGCAGTCTGTTTCCAGAATCAATCTTCCTTTAGAACCCCAGTCCCTCCCAAAGAAAAATCGCAATCCTGCTTTAATAGCCATCAATTCAGCCAATATAGGAGGACCAGGACACACCTTATCAGAGAAAGAACCCAACATCTTACCATTTGCGTCATGAATAAGACCACCAATACCCCCCTCTAAGCCACTCCTTCTCCACTGCCCCGTCGACATTAATCTTCAGAAAACCTGGAGGAGGGTTAACAAACAGATAAGGGGGAATCACCCTCTTAATTTTCCACTGAATATCCGCCAAGGCTGGATTGCTGACTAAGCTATCAAACTGCTGGATAAACTACCTATTCCAACTCTCCAGGTTCTGAAACCAGATTGATCCTCTGCAAATAAAGTCATTAGATTATGAGACAACCACGAAACAGTTTAAATTTGTTGAAGATGCAGAAGAAGAATCAGGAAGCCAAGTGAACTTTGCCCGTAAGAACAAAAGTTGGCCTGCTGCAACTAGACGACGGGAATAAGCGGTTTCCTCAAGCTAGACGATGACAAGCTTTTCCTGCATCTAGTAATATGAGTGCAAGATTCCGGTGAGTGTCTCCGGGATGAATGATAAAATCGTAATCATGTAAGAGTAATGAAAAAGAAAATTGAATTTGATATTTAAAAGTTTTGGTGAATATGAAAATATTCTATATTTAAAAGTTTCAGTTTGACCCAATATATAATTAGTTTAAATCATTGTTTAATTTTTTCCAAATATAAAATAATATAATTTGGTCTAATGATTTCATTAACATGAGATGTGATTTACATATGTTATTAGTTTGAGATAAAATTTAAATGTTTAAAAGTATGGGGACCAACTTAAAATGAGGGTCATAATTTGGAGGTGAAATTAAAATATTTAAAAGTTTGAGGATTAATTTAAAATGAGAGTCATATTTTGAGAAAGAAATTTAAATATTTAAAATTTTAAAGATCAATTTAAGATAAGAATCATAGACGAGCAAGTACATTTTGAGTAATAAGTAGTGTGCAGGATTTGTTCACATTTTAAAATAAAATAAATGGAAAATATAGATTTTCTTTGCTGTAATAATATTGCTTACCATTTCTATTTTTTTTTTACCAATTTATCATTGATTTTTATATATGTACATATAATTAAATACAGACAAATCACTTACAATGCTAAAATCTGTGTTGATACCAAATCTCATATTAAAACCTTAGACGATCTCTTATAATTATTCATAAAAAAATAAAATCATGTATTTGGCAGTCATTTTTTTACATTAAACAAAAAATAAATATTTCAAATTTATTCAAAATTAACTTTAAGATTCGTTTCCCTCTTATTATCCTTTTCGATATAAATAAAATTGTGTGTGATCTACAAAAATAAAATATAATATACAAATAACATATTAAACAAATATTATATATATATATATATATAATTAAATTTGATGCTAATGTAAACATTTCCCATTTTATAAAGCATTCTATAAATGTGAAAGAAAAAAAAAAGTAGCAACACTGTCTATATAAAGTAGCAATCACCAAAGTCCAAATGCTTTCCTTTGCCAATAGAAAGCTTGATGTTGATGATCAGCATGGAGAAGAGGGGTTTCAAGGTTACATTAGTGGTGCTTTTTCTGGGTTTCTCTCATCTTCTGATTTCATGTGCTGCTGTTCCTGCAACAAGTAGGGCTTACATTTTAGAATTTTATTTCTACATTCTACATCTTAATTTATACAAATTTTATTCTTTTTATATAGGAAGCCTCAACTCAAATACTGAACTACTCACAGCTTCTGTCCCAGATTTACTTGCTCAGGTATTCTCTCTATTTTTCAAGTTTCGATTCTTTTAAAAACACAAGCGATCTCCATGATAAAAAAAAGTGTTGTTCTTTTTAAAGTTTTCGGATTCGAGTAGCTACGTTTGTAATGTGTATATGCATTATCAATGACTAAGAAAATTTCTAAACAGATATTAATTTGTAATATTTCCGGACTATTCAAAGAGAAAAAAATACAAATATAAGATAGAATCAAAATTATAAATAATGCATTGGTCGAGTGCATGTTGATTTAGGGTTGTGTTTGGTTATAATTTGCAGAATGAAAGAAATTGGAGTGAAACTGAAGAAATGATTGGGGAATATTTAGGAGATGGATTGAAGGAAGAGAGGATGCTACTGCCAAGCACAGATGATTATTCAGGGACTGGTCCAAACCCCAAGCATGATCCGACGTTACCTCCTCTCCTCAGTCCCCATTAATATAGAAAAATATAAATATATCACCTTCCTAAAGTTTTATATTTAATAAAAATATTTTGAATATATATTTTTCGATTACTTTAATATATATTCAAAGATAATTCTCGATCATTTAACATTGAATAATTTTAAATGTATGTGAAGTTTTATTTTCTAGAAATCGTAGATGCAACTACAACATGATGTGTTTATTATCAATGAGTTAAAAAAGAAATTGAGAAAATCATAATCTAAACTAAGATTAAAAATTTATCTCATAAAATACAATGTTTTTATTTATTTATAACTATACATGCAGGACCAAAGTGATGATAAGATTATGACCTACTGCAAAAGCTCCTATTTCTGTACATTAAATAGACCTTTCAAATTAATACAAAAGCTCTCAAAATTTCTCTTTGGGTAAGTTTTTTTTACCAGAAAAACCTATTTAATGGCCAATTCCAAGGAAATCATAGAAGGGTATGTTCTTGATCTTTTCATTTGCAGCATTTCCACTTCCCTCAGACATGATGGTGTGGTTGTTCTGACTCGTGACAACTAACTCAGTTGCTGAAACTTCTGAGTTTGAATCTGATAAATGAACAGATTGGTCTACACTCATTCCCATTCGTCCTTGTTCATAACTTACACCGTTTCCAGTGATGTAATACTTGTTAAAACCCCCGTTTCCAGAAAACGTTGAAGAAGAAGAAGAAGAAGATGGGTTTCTTCTTCTATAAAAACTTGATTTCTGTCTATGTTTCCTAGCCATTATCACATGCCAATTGTTCTTCACTGCATTATCAGTTCTACCAGTAAACAATCTAGCAATCATTGCCCATTTGTTACCGTACAATCTATGTGCGGCTAAGAGCCTCTCTTCCTCTTCATCACTGAAAGCTCTCCTGTTGATTCTTGGGTCTAGCTGGTTAAACCATCTCAATCTACAGCTTTTCCCTGTCAAACATAAAAAAAAGGCAAAACTTGATTTTGTTAACCAATCATATTCAAAGCGTTGTTAAGATCTGGAGAAAGAATTGAGAGCTACCTGATCTTCCTTCGAGATATTCAGCTATCAAGTTCCAGTTTTGAGGACCATATTGAGCTACAAGGTGTTTTAGCTTGGCATCTTCCGCTGGTCTCCAATGGCCTCTAGCACAAAGCTTAGTGTGTCCATTTTTGGTTGCATTAACAGCATCAGAGTTCTTATTTCTTCCCTTTTCACCATTAAAATTAAAAGACAGACCCCTTTCTTCATCACAAGCAGCATTTTTCACGGTTTCCCTGCTTTCAAATGGCTCAAAGCTCGAACATTTATTGCTTTGCTCCATTAAAGAAGTTGAAATCTGAAAACCCAGTTGAAAGTTCAGCGTATTTCTCTGTATGGGATTTGAAAAAATAGTTGTGGGAGGAGGATTAGCAAAAAAGTTCATCTCTTGAACCACACCATGATTGCAGTAAAAATCATTGCTTAGATTTTGTAGACTCATTGTCATATGAAAACCAGATAAACCCAGAAAAGAAAATCAAAAAAGAAAGAAGCTTAGCTAATCTCAGTCAAAAACTATAAGAGAAGAGAAGGAAGAAGGCACAACATCATTGATTTCTTTCACTCACTTATCTCTTTCCTGCATTGCTGATTTTCTTGATGGATTTAGGAGAGAAAAAAAAAGGGCGTGCAGGTGCAGCGCTCTGTTTCAAGGGAGGACAGGCAGTGATTTAATAAATAGAAAATGACAAAAGAAGACTGGATTTTGCATGCAACTCGAGAATCGCTCGTGTGGGTGGTGGTTGGGTTAGCGTGGCTTTGTCGTAACTCGGAACATCGTATATGATACATTATAAAATATTACAATCTTAATATAGTGTGTAAAATATATTTAAGGGATATTTAGTCATTGAACTCGACCTTAATTATAAATGTTGTCTCTGCGTCAATTGAGCCCTTAATTTTTTCTAATTATGACTATTTAGTCGGTTGATATATTTCATTCAGGTTCGAGTCCTCACTATGTCACTAGACCATTTATTTAATTTAAACTCTATTAATGATCAAAATAAATTTATCTCGTAATTATAATCTATACATTATTTAAAGTGATCCTATGCAACAAATGGAAATTAGAATTTAATTTTCTCGATGTTATGTCAAGTGGAGAAGATGATTATGTGAAGACTTTTGAAACGCTGGGAGAGCTTCAGTTTCATGCACCAACGAAATATATCTTAAAAAGGCATGTGATAGTTTATGGTCGGTCATGTGATAGCAAATTATTCGCCTTTCGCTAAATATTATAAATCATAATTGGGCAAATCAAAAGTAACAACACAATAAAAAGAGTAAATTACTCGGATAGTCACCACATTATGGGATTGATTTTATTTTGATCACTAAACTATTTTTTTCAATTATACTACTGATTAAAATAATGTCAATCAATTCATTGAACGTTAGTATTTAACAAAAATGATGATGTGGTAGTTAAGTGTAACAACAACTAAAAGTGCATATTAAGTGATTTGATTTACAACATTTTAATAATTTAGTGTTCTAATTACAAATAATAATTCAATAACCAAAATAGAATAAGCCCCATGGCTTAGTAACTATCTAGAGAACTTACCCTATAAAATAAAGAAAAGGCCCATTTATTTCTTTTGTTAGTGGTTAATTAGGAGATGGTAGTAGACTTGCATGCACATGAAGAAAGCAATGAACTCAAGTGCTTGAATGGTTTTCCAATATATACTTTTGGGATTAAAATAGTTTAATTAATTAACACCTTTTCTTTTTGTTTTTTTTTTTCTACTGAAAATAAACAAATAAACTGTGTTACTTTGAGGGAGTGGGTTATTCAACCTCACCTTTCTTACTTTCTATCCTTATCTTTTTAATTAATTGTTTTTGTTTATACTTTACTAAATGACCAAGGCACTGTTCCCTTAATTAGCTGAACTATAGAAACAATTAACAATTATTGTTAATTATACCCTTCTCTGTTGAATCTTTTTTGACCGTTGAACATCGTTGTCTCACTTTAAGGCTCCCATGATATTTTTTATTTTATATTTTTAAAATATGGCACACTTGATAAATTCGAATAATATTTTTAAAAATAATTATAAAAGTTGTTATTTTAAAATATAATTATTTAAATTGATCATTTCTAATAAGTGGTTAAAAGCTCTAAGATGATGCATCCCCTCTTTTATAAGTTATGAGTTCAATAATAAAATTTTTCTTCCACTCTCGCTAAATAGAAATTATTAAGGAAAAAAAAGATGATTATTTGAAAGGTGACATTTGTATAAAATATTCATATAAAGAAGCTATAAAAATAAGGAGAAAATATCAAAATAGGAAGGTAAAGCGAACAAAAAGGAAGACGGGAGAATAATAAATGATTATTTATGATTATATTTTAACTATGTTTGTATCTTATTCAACGTGATGGATCGACATTTTAAGGATAAAGAGCATAAAAAATATCGTTTGCAATATATAAAATCTTTTATTTGACATAATAAAGATTAGAGTTAAATGTTGCTTATATATTATATATATATATGTATTTCATTAAATACAATCAAGTCATTTCTTAAATCTATCTGAAAAAATATATATAAAGATAAAATGTTTACGCAACGACTTATAATTCTAAATGGCACTTGACTCTTTAAAATTATAACAAAACTTTATGTAAGGGTGATTTTATAATAAAAAAAAGTTAATTCCAAGTGGGAGATGGAAGGTGAATGGTTCCGCTTGAGGCGTGTCAAAATGCTCCTCAAGGTAACTGGAACATGATAGTAGGTAGTGCCGTAGTGGTGGATCCACGATTATTTAAGGGTGATTATAGATACAATCAATAATGGATTTAAGATTTTATATTAAAAGATAAATTTATAGAATTTTAAAGGATGAAAATATATTATCAATAAAAATTAATTAAAATATACGATAATTTAAAATTTTAAAAGGGTTAACTGTTTCGTTCATTCTCGGTTATGCAAATTTTGTGATTTGTTGACGAAGAAAAGCTACGCTCACAAGCTTTGTGTTGTTATCACACATCTTCCACAAGCTAATATTTTTCATGCACATCAAATACGAGTACATGTTTAACTATACATACGTTTATTGTACCATTTGAAAAACCATAAAAATTGAGTTTAAATTTATTTGATGATGCCTTGTAATCATCCATATTCATCTCCTCTGCTACTAGTTAAAATGTTATGGTGATCTTACGGGTTTAATATCCATATTTTCTTTTATGGAAAATATCAGTTAAAAAAGTATTTATTATTTAGAAAATTTGTGGGCTAAGAGTCTTAAGCCCAATTTACCGACAAGTGAAGGTAAGGATGGGTCTATAAAACCGAAGAAACCATCTTTAAACCTCAGAAAAACCTCAGCAGAAATGGCATTATCATCTTCAGCGCTTCATCTCCCTCCTTCAATACCCTTTCTTTCTCTACCTAAACGCCACAATTTTCCACCCCTCAAAGCTTCTCTTAACTTTTCATTGCATGATAAACCCAATTTGAATGTGAAAAATGTCTCCTTTGCTGCTACAAGAAGAGCTTCTCATTTGGTAGTTGAAGAAGAAGAAGAAGATGAAGAACTGGAAGAGGAATTTGAAGCTGTAAACATTGCTGAGGATGTAACCCAGGTTCTAGTATTTTTACCCCATTCCCCCCTTCAATTCCATGAAAAGTAATTGAATTTTTTTATGGTTAAAGTTCATTTTCTTACCTTTTTTTTGGGGGGGGGGGGAGGGATTTAAGTATAAGAGAACGGAGAACTTAGAGAAGTGCTCGGCGTACGTTCAGAGCATTTTTGTTTAAGAGTGGATTGCATTTATACTACGATAACATTTCTTTTGGCTGTTGAGAAAATGAGGGGGAAAAGCTTTGACGTTGACAATATACTTCTCTAAAATCTTTAATTACTTATTTTTATTCTACATAATTAACTTAAGAGATTGTTTTTACTTCAACATAATTTAATGTCTATCCTTCTCTAGTTTCAAACATTATCCATAGGCTTTAGGATAAATAATGTCTTGCCATGTTGGTGTCACTTAGTAGTTAGTATGCCTTAGTTTGTCTGCTTTGATAATGCTTTGCTTATATGTCAAACCTTTACTGATTTTGTCCAGTTGTGACAAAATTGATATAGTTGATCGGGAGTACTCCGATGATATATCTCAACAAAGTTACAGACGGCTGTGTCGCAAATGTTGCTGCAAAACTTGAATCCATGGAACCTTGTCGGAGTGTCAAAGACAGGTACATAATCTTCCTATTGCGAAGTCTATAGTTACTCTCTATATGCATGGGACATCTTTTTTTATTGGGATTTGGGGCATGAATCATTTGTTTGATCGTGTTTCAAGTCACCAATAGAACTGGAGGCTCTCAGAAGCTGCAGATGACCTAAATATGTGCTATATTATGCAAGTTCTTGGCTGGTTTTCATGTAGGTCTATTGAAAATATGTTAAAAATGACAGTTTTTTTCTTTCAACGGTTGACATTTTAGGATTGGACTTAGTATGGTATCTGAGGCTGAAGATAGTGGAGCAATGTCTCCTGGGAAGGTTAGCCATGTTCTCCTTATTGCTAATGAAAGTAGTCCTCATAAAATATGCATCTGATTTTTGAAAATTATTGGGTTCAGAGTTAGACACGTTTACACAGTGGATACCTTTCCTTTTCTTATGATCGCATATATACACTTTGTGGGCTATATACATCGCAGACCATATTAGTGGAACCGACAAGTGGAAATACAGGACTCGGAATCGCTTTTGTTGCAGCAACTAAGGGTTACAAGCTCATAGTAACAATGCCTGCTTCTATAAACCTTGAAAGGAGAATCCTTTTACGTGCATTTGGAGCAAAGATTGTTCTGACAGACGCTGAAAAAGGCTTACAAGGGGCTGTTGATAAAGCTGAAGAAATTGTTCTTAACACTCCAAATGCTTTCATGCTTCAACAGTTTGATAACGTGGCTAATACAAAGGTAATGTTATTTTAACATTTCACCTAAATGGAAGTGTGTTAATATTCCTCATATATTATTCTGAGATGGTTATATGAAGATACTCTTGTATGAGCTGCAGATTCATTTTGAAACTACAGGACCAGAAATATGGGAGGATACTTTGGGTAATGTCGACATATTTGTTGCTGGAATTGGAACCGGTGGTACTGTTACAGGCACTGGACGTTACTTGAAAATAATGAACAAAGAAATTAAGGTATCTTTGATATTTAAGCTTGTCATGAAGTTCATTTCAATTTAACTGCTTTAGTGCTCACTGGAATTCTCAAGCTTGTAATTGTTGGTGGTTAGGAATGTTTTTGTTCGTATTGGGAAATTTCCAGAATATTACATTATTGCGAATCGTCCTTTTGTAATATTATTGTTTGCTCAGGTGGTTGGTGTGGAACCTGCTGAAAGGAGTATAATTTCTGGAGAAAACCCAGGTCAAAATCTTTTTACTTTCACAGAATAAAAATTTTCTTTCCTGTTTCTACTCGATGGATTTTTTTTTGGCTTTGCTGCTAAATTATAAAAGATTTTGCTGCAGGTTATGTGCCAAGCATACTAGATGTTAACTTACTTGATGAAGTTATCAAGGTGAAGATGTCTTTCCCTCTATTTTCCCACTTCTTTCTGGATGTAGAGGAATATCACCTGGATTTGTTAGTTTTTCTGGGGTTCCAACTTTCAGTTCCATACAAAATTAGTTTTATAGAAAATGTTATTATGGCTATGCCCTGTTCTTTTTAGTCGGTTGTTTGACATTTTCTCTCCAAGTATATAGGGTGTTCATCATTTTACTGCAACTATCTTGATCGTTCTTCCAATGACTTGACTGACCTCTGAACAAGAAATGAAAAATACATGTTAGCTTATAACTCAGTAGTGGTGTCATTTGAGTCTTGATAGCCTATGTATTCAAGTTGTTAGAGGAGTGCATAAATCCTATAAATAAGAAATTTCTGGAGAGTGAAAGAGAATCACATAAGAGCTTTGGAATATCAACCAATCAACTTGAAAGCTTGAACGATGATTAATACTATTAGCTTATGAAAGTGGTGCAAGTTTTTGCTGGGCATCTTGACATGACATCACAGATTACTTTTGAGCAGTTTGTCCAGAAAAACAGAGGGGTGGTCCTTGTTCCAAGATCATATCAAACGATATGCATCTAATATGCTCGTACTTTTCCTTTCCCCGTGTAAGGCAATATATGTTTTTGGCTTGGCTATAATCTTACTTTTTAATGGCATATCCCGCATAAGGAAGACGATATATTTTTTGAGGTGATCTGAATGTTGGATATCTGTGTAAGGCAATAATGTGGATTATCTATAGCGTTTGGTTCCTATGGGTTTCTTGCATGTGGTTTTGTCATGTAATTTAGTTAATATGTTACATGAACTTTTAGATATTGATTTTGTAGTCATAAAAATGTAGGTCAGCAATGATGAAGCTGTCGATATGGCTAGGAGATTAGCACTGGAGGAAGGGCTGCTGGTAATATGCAAAGATATTTTCAGCGTAGATCCTTTTAATTGTGTTCCCTCAATTAATTTGTTCTTCCACATCTCGTGAAAGTGTTCTATTTGTGATTCAGCTTAAAGTTCTTCGCTAGCAAACTAGACACGGTCTTATTTATTTTCAACCGAAAAGCTTTTCTCACCCTGTGTCAAATATGAAAGGACACAATACAGTGTGATCTTATAATTTAAATTAAATACAATGTTTCAAAACCGGCTAGTTTTACTAATTGATTTGGGATTTTTTTTCTATCTTTAGGTTGGCATTTCTTCTGGAGCTGCTGCAGCAGCTGCAATTAGCTTGGCTAAAAGGCCTGAGAATGCGGGAAAACTTATTGTGGTGAGAAATTTTTCTTTAAATTTTCTAAGTGATTCAGGTAGCAACCCAATATTATCCCATAATACTCTAAACCTGATGTATATATCTTGCTGCGAATTTAAAAGAATTGTTTGAATGAAAAAAGAACTTTTCATTGAAGGCTAGGTAAAATATTATTCTGAATTTGAAAGATCACCAGGAATACTTCATTTCACCATTGACATGTGTTGTCTCTTTAGAATAGACGATAGTGATAATCGCATTAGTCTATGTTCCTCAGTGACGTCTTTTCTTGGAAATATTCATGTCCGACCACTACATTCCATGCATATTAGAGACTCACCCGCAAGCCTGAGTAACATAGGCATTAGTTTTTATTGGTTCAAAAAGAATTGGAGGATTGTAAACCTTTGAAAGGTTCGGGGAGCTCACATAACACTTTTAGGGCATCATACTTTCGAACAAGGTAATTGTTTCAAAACAAGATATTGATACCTCGTATGCCGTTGGTTGTGGGTTGAGGGATGGAAAGATTTAGAAACAAGATATTGATCTCATCTGATCCGTATGTGGGTAGATCAATGAATAAATAATATTTGGTCCAAGTGGTGATAAATTGTTCGCCTAAACCTCAAATTTCACATTCATTTGTTTACAACGTGCTCCCCATGGTCTCTTCACGCACCTTCACTGTGATGATCAAGCTCATAATTATGTTGTTGCTTAGACTCTTCACTTTGCTTGAAGTACTCATGTCCGACATATACTTGGACGAGGTTATAAGGATATGACCCTCTAAGGACCCTCTAGGAGAAACTTGGAAAAAATTAAACATACTTGTATCCAACACATTCCTGTATTTGACACTTATACCTTAGTTCGAGCAACGTAGGAATCACGTCAAAATTCGTTAGAAAGCAAGCAGGAAAAGTCAAAAATTGTATCCATATTCAGTTTCAGTGGGTAATCAAAATATGCTTCCAACTTTAGCTCTTCTTTCTAGTTTACCCTAGCATTGAGGCAGACAGATAGCATACAAGTACACCTTCAAACCTTGAACACTGCTATATTTTGATAACTACAAATAACTGGGGCACTACTTTTTTAAGATATCTTTCAACGGTTTGCAACACTGCAGGTTATATTTCCGAGCTTTGGTGAGAGGTATATTCCAACCGTCCTTTTTCGTTCTATATATGAAGAAGTGCAACAAATGGAAGCAAGTTAGCATATATTTGTACTGGGAGGTTCAGTCTACCATGGAATATAATCCTCCTTTCCAATGAATACTACTTGACAGGTAGATAACTTTTCTTCGTCAACTTTTCGATCTGTGTATGAAGATCAATTACTGTTGCTTTATCTTTTATCCATTGTTTTCTAGGTGCAATTTCCATAAAAACATAGGAGTTCATACAGGATTTCTCTCGATAGTTAACTTCCTGGTCATCCTTCTGTCATGTTATGGTACTGCTAACTGGAATGCTTTGGCATACGCGGTGTGTACCTTTTTGACTATATACCATTACGATGATGTCAGAGCTAACAAGTCACTTTGAAGATGGGAAAATCATAGTTTAGTAATTCTGCAGAGAAAGTGAGACTGATATCGATGTTTGAAAAATCATGAATTTAGTAATACTTGTTCTGGAAAATTTCCCATTGGCCGGATAAGTGATAACATGGTTCTTCCTATATTGTGTATTGTTGCATCCCATTCTTGGATGAAACTTGTATAAAATGTCCTACTTGGAGAAGTCGTCTATCTGTTCATAAGGTTTTTCATTTTGAATTTAGATCAATTAACCTCAAAAAGTATTTCAAGATAAATAAAATAAAAACAAAAGCTTTTATTTGTCCAGCAATTGAAAGTCTTATTTGATTGACAGATCAAAGCTCTTTAAATATTGCACAGGTAAAGAAAAAGGTCCAAATCCAATAGTTTATAAACGGATAGAAATGCAAAAGTGTTTAACTGTTTATATATGTGAGGGACTGAGGGTTACATAAAAGGGTAGACCTAACAAGTTGAAGGATCATCAAAGCAAATTCATATATGTGTAAACCTTACAAATTAAATTTGTCCAATAAAAAGGAAAAAAAGTTGAATCGTCCTTCTTCATGAGGTTTAAAGTTCCCTGTCTCTACTCCTGGTCTGAGATAATTTGTCCATCGAAGCCTGCAACTTTTGCTGCATCTCAGCAACCCTTTTTATAAACAAATACTGATAGGTTTGAATCAGCCAAGAAAAAGTATGGAAATCCATTGTTTATTTAACCGAAAAAATTTAAAATTCTGCAACAGAAACATGGGATCTCCAATTGGCAGGACCGTGTTGTTGGACGTAAGAAACAAGAATGATGTCTTCCTCACGGGTCCTTGAACCTTTCTTCATGCCAGCTTTGTCACACCATGGACCTCTTCCCATGCCTCTTTTCACTTGCTTTGTATTTTCACCTATACAGCTTCAACTTTATATCTATATATATACACCGAGACGATGGTTTGCTTTTACTTGTATAAAACCAAGTTTTATATGGTTTTATTTCTTCTTGTATTTTATGTTTAATTTACCATTATATATGACAAGTTTTTAATAATATAAACAAATTTAATAATTTGTTTCATCTAAAAATATAATGATAAATTTAATATTTATATATATATTTTTTAGTTAAAATTAACTACGAATATTTCAAAAATGAACTTAACAAAAGAGCCAGAAGACGATGTGTGGAAGGTAATCTCGAAACACAGAAGATCAAAACATTTATATAGCTCGCTTGTAAAAGAAAAATCCTAACAAACAATGAATGAGTGAGAAGACAGCTCGTATCGGACCCATATTGGAACAAAGCAAACAGATGATAAAAACAGAGTCCTTAAGAAATTACAACAATTTTTTTACAACCGAGATTCGTGCAAGTCAACCAATATTTTAACAAGTTAAAAGATTGTTCACTTATTGAGAGAAAAATACTATAATTTGACTGAATTGGATTTCTTCTACTTATGCAATTTTCTCCCCCCCCCCCCAATGAACAATACTATAATTTGCGTTATAATTCTTTATTCTAGTTGTAATAAGTTTGAAATTATAATCTTTTATTTTGATTATAAGAATTTTGAAATTATAATCCTTTGTTTCGATTGTAAGAAGTTTGTAAGGAAAAACTGTTGATTGTTTGGTCTCTAAGGGACACAAAATGCATATACCTTCAGGACATCATTTTATTTCCATTTTTCTTTGGACTCTAACTAGATAAAAAAACAAAATCATTTACAGCTTCTGAAACAACTGGGTGAAACTAATGATTATAAATGTTGAGCAAGCCACAGATTATGCTAAACAGATATTAAAACGTAGGAAGAGTAACCCTAAAATATTTGAAACATGCAACTCACATTCTCATAAATCACTCCAGAATGAAAAGTATGTAAAACACAATGAAGCAGAGAAAAACATGTCACAACATCACCCCCCCCCCCAATTATAGCGGACGAGGAAATAAACTAGAATCTTACGCTTGATGTATGCTTTTCAACTTCTTCTTCTTTCTCCCATTTTCATGGCTTTCGTTACTTATCGGCGTATAATCTCGTAAAGGGTGATATTTCATGGATTTCAACTCTTCCTTCGCTGTATCAAGCCTTCGTTTCTCGTCTCTCTGCCGTTACAACACCGAAAACACTCAAACATTCTTTATTCGAAGTCATTAATTAGACATGTTAGTACACCATAAGAAACCGATACTCACATAGGCCTTATTGAACACTTGTAGCTGCTGGTTGCAAAGCTTAACCTCCATATCCAGTGCACGGACTCTAGACTCGACCGGAACAGTACATTGCTCAACCAGTTGCTTCTGCCTACCACGCACAACCTCGGGTTGCCACACATTCAAAGCTACGAAAGCTTGACTGAAATTGAATGCAATGAGGACTCTGTTTAATGAACAAAAATGCCAAACGTTCTGTCTCCATGGTTTCAACTTAAAATTAGATTCGTTTTGTTCCCCAATTGTAGGTGTAAAAGAAAACACTTTTACCTCCTACATTCCTCTAATCACAAATGCCAATAACATAAACATATTCAGTTTGGTTTAAACTGGAAAACATAAACTTCAAACAGAATTTAAAATTATATCCGGGAAAAAAAACTCATTAATTAATGAAATATTTCTACTTTAATCTTCTTCTTCTGAGCACCAAAATCAGAAATAAAACACTAAAAAAAGAAATTGGAATTGTTACCTAACTTTATGTAAATTAGACAATTCCGATAGAGAGGACTTCAATTTATTTCTTTCCTCAAGTAATCGAACCTCGATTTCTCGAAGTTTCCGAATATGCTCGGCAACCTGACTCTCTTTCCTCAACACCGCCCTTTTATGAGCCCATAACTTCCTCTCTCTTTCCCTCTCAAACCTACCCAAAATACAAAACTGTAAATGGCATTTAAAAAAAAAGGTTAAGAAAATGTTTCTTTAGAATTTACCTGATTCTGTAAAGGGATTTAGGGGAGGAACATGATGATGGAACTGACGAGGTTTGTGTGGGGAAATCAACGGAGATCAAGTGGGACCAGAGTGAATATTCATCGGATAAACGATGGAGGCGTCTGCAGCTGATTGAAACGCAACAAAGATCTTTGTATGTAAAGCTCGAGGCTTTGATTCCGATTTCTAGTATTTTTCTCCATAGCTCGTCTGGTAGTTCGTTCCTCGAACTCATTTTTCTTCTTTATTTTTCTAATTGATTTTTTTTTTCAGCTGAAAAGATCCGGTTTTATCCGGATAGTTTCTAGAACTGGTTCTAGAAGATCCGGGTTTTATTCATTTATTTTGTCAAAATTAGATTAAAATTTATTTATATTTAAAGTTATTTTAATTATTCTATTATAAAAATTAATATTTTAATCCATATACTATATTCAAAATTTCATTTTAATCTATTTATTTTAAAAAAGAATATTTTAATTTTTTTATAATTAAAAAATTAAATTTAGTCCAACACACAAATTATTGTCATAAAAATTATTTACGTATTTTATCTAACTTAAAAAAATACCAATTCAATTTATGATTATAAAATAAATGATAAAATTTAAAATTAATTAAAAATATAAAAAATCTTACATTGAATACTAGATTATATAAATATAATTTTATCGACCACAAATCAATTATTTAGTTTGATTAAATAGTTAATTATTATGTTTAACTTTTTTTAATTTTTTTTATTAATTTAAGGTAATTATAAGATAATATCTAAAATATTCTTAATCAATTAACAATAAATACTCAAATATCCTTATATACATCATATTAAAACTTAAAACCTCTATAAATAATAATCATCCCTTAAACTTACTTTTACTATAAAAGAATATTGTATATATTAAATTAAATATTGAACTTAACTAAGTGATTAGATGTGCCTCTCTCACAAGTCCTAAGTTCAAGTGCTTTTGCTGCCATTCTTATTTTCTTGATTCTTCGTAATATTTTCAGTTGGTAATCGAAAATGTTATGTTCTTCGTAATATTTTTAAATTCAATAGAAAATGTTAGAAAAATGTAAAATTTTAGGTTATATAAAACCTTTAAATGTTGTGTTTTTTATCACATCTTCAATTACGTACATTTTCATTGGTTTTTAACATTAAATTAAATTGTCGTATCTCGGTACTTCCCCAAATAAATTCTTAATTAGACCACTTGATTTATTGTCCAATTAGATTGAGAGTAATAAAACTCTGAGATATACGTATGCTTAGCAACAGACTTCCATGCAAGAATAATTAGCAAAAAGGTTATATATATCCATGCTAGAATCTTCATATCACCGGAAATTATACAATTACAAGGCTCTTCTCAATACTCGTACACTACAAACTCTAATTAATTTACATCACCAAAGAAACAAAAACAAAACTACATCACAAAAAAACAGATTCAGCCATTCCTATATGATGCAGTAGTGGGGATTTCTCACCCTTTGGAGAAAGATAATTTCCCACTAATCAATTTATTTCCACTCTCTCTTCTCACATAGTCTTTCTTTTTCATTGATCTTCTCATATTTGACCCTTCCCCGTTAATTGTAGGAACTATATACCATCCAACACAAGTACACAGTATCGCAACTGATCTTCCAACAAACATCAAAAACAATAAAATCAGGATTACAATAACTGGGATGTAATAAGATGGCTTTCTCAGATTCTTCCATGAAAACCTCTTCTTCTTCCTCTTCTTCGATTTCACGTCGATGTTTTTATCAGATTCTGATGGGGTTTGAACCTTTGTTTTTACCATGATGGGGTTGTTGTTGTCTTGCAGGTTTATCACAACCGGGACACAATCGTTTGACTTGTTGTAAACGAATCGAACTAAGCTTTGTGATCCCGTTTGTGAATAAATTTTCTGCCTTTTCTCCTCGAGTTCTGCTAAAAGTGCAGAAAACTGGTCGAGTCCCCGTGTTGAATAGGGATTCTTGGTGTCCTTTTTTCTTTTTGATTTTCTGGGTGAACGAGCAGGGCTGGTAGACCAGATTCCATTACCTTCTTCTTCTTCTTCTTCTTCTTGGTGATGGAAAGCTCCACAGAGAAATGGATAAAACATGTGAGTGGAGTTCTTTTTTTGAGAATTTCAGGACGGATTCAAACAGGAAATAGAGACTTATAGAAAGAAAAAAAACTACACCTAAACCTGCTACTTGGTCAAATTAATGGTTGGGAGAAAGAAATGAAAACACAATAAATAATACGAATAGAAGCTTCCACTCGTTTTATTTGACTTGAAGATGAACCAGTTATTTCTTTTAGGTGTTAGTTAAATTCAAAAGATTTTGTTTTTCAGGTGATTAAAATGAGAACGTTCTAAAAGTTCAGCGACTAATTTGGCAGTTTACTATAATTAAAAATACTAATTGAAGCCTCAACTTTGACTTTTTTGATGTTTTGTTCAGATTATGAGCTACGTTGTTTTCTTGTTTATGGTTGTATTCAAGTCGTAAATCATACTTATTATATAATTTTTAGGGTAAATTAAGTATTTAGTACTTAAACTATCAATTTTAGTTTGTTTTAGTACCTAAACTTTCATTTTTTTCAAAATCATACCTAACGTTTAATTTTTGTTTCATTTTAATACTTGTCGTTAAAAACATAATAGACAGGCTCCAAATTGACGATGAACTCTTTAACTTCTTCATCCTTCGATCTCCGTTGTCAACCATCCAATGGACTTGAAAATGGATTGTGTTGGTCAACTCGTCATTCTCTCGTGGTCTACCGTTCGAATTAATCGTTCGTCCACCGAAGTTATGCCCTATAAGCCCTTTTGTTAAATTTTTAATGAATGTGTACTAAAATGAAACAAAAACTAAACATTAAATATAGTTTTGAGAAGAAAAAAATTTAGGTACTAAAATGAACGAAAACCTATAGTTTAGTTATTAAATGCATATTTTATCCATTTTTATTAGCCTGGGTGAATACATGAGTATATATGTTTAAAATTTCTTAATCATTTGACATTAAACTATTATATCCTTGCATACATTATACTCGAACCCGAAATTTCAAATGATAACAACAATCATTTAATCACTAAAGTCGCTTAGCTCGTGTTGTTTATATAAATTTTAGTCGATGACTATCTTGTTTTGTATTACTAATAATTCAATTGAATTCAAAACTTGAGGGCCTAATTAATAACTCCAAACATATAGTTCCCCGGAAAAGGGGGAACCTTCCGCAATTAATAATTTATCTTCTAGATGCACTTCATTCTATCAAAGGGATAGACCTTCATACGTTAATTTTCCTCATCTCAATGTACACGTAATTTTAAATATGAAATAAAAAATAATTAAAAATATGATACGACTAAAATTCAAATATAAAAATATATGTAAACCGCCAAACTAATATCTACCATTTTTTAATTAATAATTATGTAACCCATTATGTTAGAGTTAGTGTTTATTTTAAATAATTCTTACTCTCCGGGCGTATTAATTTATTTTTGATAAAACCCTTAAATTGCTTCCAGAAGCCACAAATTGTATAGTTGTCAACAAATATTTTCGTTTTTATTTTTGTCTGAGTAAAAATGAAAAATACCCTTTTTATTTTTGTTTATTTTTGGTTCGGGGAGATAGAGAGAAAGAGATTAAAAAAATATATGAATGAAATATAATATTTTTATTTTTATGTTAATTTTTAAATATTTTTTTAATAAAATCTTATTTTTATGTTAATTTTTTAATATTTAGATTAAGATTGTAGATTACTTTTTAAAATAGTTTTTACTTTTATGTTAATTTTAAAATATTTATATTAATATTGTAGATTTATTATTATAAATTTGTATATTAATTTTAGGCAATTTTCTTAGGTAATGTGATAAAAAAAACACTCATGTAGGATGTGAGGAGATTATTTTCTCATCTGGTGTTATTGTCACAATATACTTCGAAAGATGTCCAAGTGACATGTCGTCTTTGGGGAGATGTTCGAATCACATGAAATCGTTGAGTTTTACAAGTTTTTGAGTATGCATGTCGCTAGGAGGAAAACGTTGTATCATCTCATCTAGTATACACTATAATTATCATATTGCTTGAAAATATAATTTTCCCACATTCTAGATAAAGAAATTCTGCCATAATATTTGAACAATTTTACCATCTATTTCGATATATTTATTCATATTTTGTACATATTTTTTTTATACAATTATTCTTATACGGTGTTTATGTTACGAATATATTCACCTAACGTCTTACGTTAGTTGTTAGGTGATGTCAATTTTTTTTAAGAATAAAGAGACGACATATTGTTAATATGAGAAATAGGAAATAAGGATCAATTATATAAAAGTTGATCAATTTATGTCTGCTTTTTCATTTTAATGTCTAACGTTTATTGTGTTATAGTTTGATGTCTAATATTTTATTTCGTTACTTAAAATGGGTCAAATCGTGACGGACCATTAAGTTTAACTGTTAAACTATTAAAAATGTCACATGACATATTTTTTTTAATATTAACAAATGATTTTTGAAAATATTTTTTTAATAATTTTTAATATTAAACCTTTTTTGCTCGGTTTGAAAAAGAAACGAAAGCCTTGTCGTCGCTTAGGACTACCGATGGACGTTCTTAGCTTTGCTGTCGTCGAGATTTGTGTGGGGGTGGTCACAACAGTCGGTTAGGGTCGTACGTCATCTCCGTTGGTCGTGGGGACTTTGACAGCCCCTTTTCCACCCGTTTTCTGGCTGCTTCAAGTCACGGCTAGGTGACCGTGAGCATCGCCGACTCTTGTTACTGTTGTCAATAAATTCTGTCACCGGCAGCCTTTAATCGGACCAAACCATATTTCATGCTTTTGTTCACTAGGGTTAACGAGTAAAAACTGTAAAAAGTTAAAAGGTTTAATTTTTCAATTAATCTATTTTAATTAATTTTTTATTTTCAGAAATTATTTTTTAATATTAAAAAATATATCATGGGGCATTTTTAATGGGTTAACGGTTAAACTTGACGGTTCGTCACCACTTAACTCATTTTGAGTAACAGAATGAAACGTTAGACACCAAATTAAAACGAAATAAACGTTAGACATTAAACTAGAAACTCATGCATAAGTTGAACAACTTTTATATAGTTAAGCCTAAGAAATAATGACAAGAAAGAACAACCACCTAGAGAAAATGATAGATTAGATAGATCAATATATATTTTCCTTTAAAATCATTTTAAATTAGATTTTTTTTCTTTAAAACTTGAATCAATCTCAACCAACGAATATTACGTACCATTTATCAAAAACAATTTTCTCTTATGTTTAGGTTATAATAAGGTATCTATAAAAACAAGAACACCCATCATTCTTTTGTAACCAAGTGAAATAGTAGAAGCGTCATATTTGATACATGATCCAATGAAATTGTCCCATTTTTTTAAACATAAATTCATGTGGTACATCATGAATAAACACGTAATAATGTAAATGAGTTAACTGTTAATGGGTCCTCAGCCTTTAGTAATCGGTGGAGGGGGGAAAATGATAATTAAAATTGCAATACCCTTTAAATCCACACCGCCTGCCGTCCTTTGTCGCCGCCGACCCTCCACCCGACAACCAATCACTATGAAAATATACCAGAATTGGAGCCAATCGACACAACCTCCAACGAACCCTGACGCTACAAATCGTTATCTCATGTGATCCCAACAGTCAATCAACATCAAGGATGACGACGTCTGAATAAAGAGATGACAAGAACAACATCAGTGGCAGTGGACCAGTGGTGGTGGTCGACAAGGACAACATCAGCGGGTTAGGGTTAGGGATTTATGATTTTTAGGAATTTAGAATTTTTGTAATTTAAGATAAATTAGGGTTTTTTAATATAATAATATTTTATTTTTACTTTTTAAAATAAAATTTACAAAATTACCAAAACGTGACACATGTTACTTAATGGAATTTTTTAACAGTTGTTACGGTTGAGGCACCTAGAATAATAATGTTTGTAACGTTAGGCACCTCAATGACAGAAAATAAAATCAAGCACCACATTAGAAAAACAATATAATTTAGGCATTTATAGTTAAAAGAAGTGTTTGTTTATGTTCAATCAGAGTTAATTAGAGATAATTATAGGTTGGATTGAATCAAGTTTTGAATTTATCCAAATCTAATCGAGAATATTCATCATCTATGCAATCAAAAATCCAACATGAATTTTTGCTATGCAAATATGAGAGCTGTCCAAATATATTGTAACCGCAAAATAAAAGGATGTTATCTACGTACAGTGATATAGAGGAAAAAGATGATCCACGCATATGGTGTCGGCATCGGCTTCCATTACTTGTTTGTATAAACGACTCAGTCCGGATGAATGATCAACGTTAACTTGGGGATATGCGCAAACAAGAACAACTACTCCAAGGAGATGAAGATTTCCATGATGTTCAACTCGGTCTCAGCAGCTTTGAATTCTCCAATGTCCCTTTGAAGCATTACAGTAAAGGCCCTTTCTTTCATTACATCAACGACTCTGATGTCAAGATTCTTCAATCTTGCAACGGATTGCTTCTCTGTGAATCATATAGAAGATGTTTCTTGATTTGCGATCCAACTACTAAAGCTTTCAGGAAGATTTATTGTCCTAGTAACTCATGTTATAATCTCCTTTCCAGATTTTGTGTTAGTTTAGCTTTTGACCCTCTAAGATCACCGGATTACAAGATCATCTGTATATGGGAAAGTTACAAGGAGCCTTGTAAGTTCAATCTGGATTTATATTCATCAAAGACTGGATCTTGGGATTTATCCATAATCAGTTTCGAGATAGATGAGGATGAGCCTGTAGATTTAACTATGGGGTTTTCTGTAATGGAAGGATTCATTGGTGCGGATACGGAAACGAATCATTGTACTTCGATGTAGAGAATGAATGTTTAGAAACAATGCCGATGGCGTTACCGATTCAGGTGGAGGCGCCGGAGGAATGTCGATATTTCGGGGAGTCTAGAGGAGTTTTGTATCTCACGGTGACATATTGTATGCCGGTTTGTTTAGAGTTTGATATCTTTGAGATGGGAAGAGATTATTCTGAATGGATTTGGAAGAAACGAGTGAATGTGGGCGATGCGGTAAAAGTTTTCCCGGAGTTGGAATTAGGATGTGTGGAGTACGGTCCTGGATTCTCCGGCGTTTGTATCATTGGATGGGAGGAAGAAGAAGAGCCGATGGTGGTGGTTTGGGCGGATGGAAAAATAGTTTGCTTTGATAATTGTTTACGATCTGGGGCCAGGTATCAAAATTGGGTCGCTGTATCTTGGAGAAGATGATCATCTACACTGTGAAGTGTGAACGATTCCATGCTTATCAATACTTCGAGAACCTCTCTTGTTTATGATTTTTGCTTTATACCAAATCCAGCAATTGTGTACAAACCAACTTCTTCTAAAGCATCAGTGCTTGGATTTTAGGGAACTGTGGCATAAGGGTCGTTCCTCGTGTTTTATGTACAATTGAAAATATGCATACATTTGAATGGAATTCTGCTTTGGTTAGTAATAGAATTTTTTTTTTGGATAAGTAAATTATATTCCATCCAAAAAAAAGAATACAACTTAGCTGCAACAATACAGGCAAAAAAATAACTTTAAAACAGACCTCAACTTATGCACAGACTCCTATTAACATCATCAATCCTATGCATGCAGTGACTATACAATTTGATTTTAACAGATTCCCTGATTCTATTTACAATACAATCAACAGAACGAGAAAGACCTCTGAAGCTTCTGTAGTTGCGTTCCTCCCAGATATAATACAAGAAGGCAGTCCAAGCAAGCTTGAGGATCCGCACACGGAGGGAATTGCCTCTCAAGTTATCAATAAGCCAGTTGAGGCGATCATCCCAATTGAGCATAACAGATCGAAAACCACATGAGCTAAGAACAGCATTCCATACTTCCCTGGAGAAAGGACAGTCTGCAAACAGATGGTCCCGGGACTCCAAACCAGTCCCACACACAACACAATCAGCATCCATAGTCAATCCAAACCGAATCAGCCTATCCTTGGTAGAAAGTCTATCAAGGATAGCCATCCAGGAAATAAGGGAAAATTTAGGAATATGGGCAGGGAACCAAATGATCTTGTGCCATCTGACCTTATCCCTGCAAATCCGAACCTTATCCCAAATCCACTTGTCTCTAACTAGGTTCCAGTCAACAGAAGGCAAAAACATACACCTCGCCACCTCCCTAAGCTTCAAAAACTTCTTTAGAATCCAGCTAAAGTGGGCTCGAACTTCAGCCTCCCAGAATCCAGCAATCATTTGAATGGAATTCTGCTTTTGTTAGTAATAGAATTAAATTAGAATAATCATTAAAAAATAATTAAAATGATATTGCAAAAAAAAATGAATTTATCTCACCTTTAATAATTATATATTTTTTCATTCAATATCACCCATTTGCTGCTCATCTTCTCCGCTAAATTGCCCCCATAAGATTATTTGAATAAAATCATTCAATTTTACCCATAAGAACCTAAATGAAATATCTGCAGCATAATTAGGTTGCCTGTCCCAACAGAATTTACCGGTTTTATGTTGGACCTGATGTGAAGTTAAACGTACAAAATCCACCCGTAAATTTATTCCGAGTCTTCGACGGTAGCTCGTCGACATGTGTAATCGGTACCGATTGAAATACGAGCAAGACCGCAAGGATCCAAGTCGAAATCATGCACCCAGTTTGACTTCTTATAGGCATAAACCTGGTGGTTATTTCCAAATGAACACAAACTCATCAGTTCTCCAACTGCATGTAATTTGCCTTTTACAAAACAACAAATAGTCTACAACTAAAGCAAATCCAGCACTGTAAGCCGCATATGCCTTCTTCTCGATCTGTTCTGCCGTCCCGTGGTTCGCTATCATCATCAAAGGAACGTTAGAAACCAGAGGTTACGTAAATCTGATACGTCCAGTGGACGACACAGGTCGAGGTCGGGATGATTGCTCGTCAGGTTCCAAATTATTCAAGTTTTATTATAAGTAAGACTCTGAAACTAATTAAGGGTCGTTAATGATAGTAATATAAGGTGTTGAGTTGCAAAGCTGTAGAGTTTCAGTTTGGTATAACGTGTTAATTGATAAGGAATATGGACCTCATAGGTTCTCCTACAAGACACTGTATATAGCAACCAAATATTTCAAAGACAAGCAACTTCTTAGATTCATAGGTTTCTGGAAAGTTTATAAAGGTACACTTCCTTATACAAATGAACAAATTGCAGTGAAGAAAGTACCCATGAATCAAATCAAGGGATGAAGGAGTTTGTGTCGGAGATTGTTAGCATGCGAAGGCTAAGGCATAAGAAATTGGTACGGCTTCTCGGCTACTATAGAAGTAAGAAAGTGCTCCTTTTGGTCTATAATCATTTGGAAAATGGCAGCTTCACAAGTTCTTTTTCAGCGTTCACAAACCGACCCTTAATTAGTTTCAGAGGTTTCAAATCATCGTGTGGCGTCGGCTTTTCCGTCTCCTCTCATATTCCCCGTCGTTGATTCTAAACACAATATATATGTGTGTGAGAGAGACTGGAAATTTAGGGGTTTTCAAAAACCCTTCTTCTTTTTCTTTTTATATGAATGGATTAAAAAATCTTTCAACTAATCATATTATAAAGTCGTTATAAAATTAACGACAGAGTGAACAAAAAAATTAATATATAAAATTTAGTTATTAAATTAAAAAAATATCATGAGTGAAATAGGAATGATAAGAAAATTTAACTATTAAATTTATAATTTATCTTAATAAAAAAAAATATTTTGTCAATCATGTCTCACCATGTACATGGACTATCAAGCCTTACAATGACCACATCAAACATAAGTGATAATGGTAATGTACGTAATCAGAGACGAATGTAAAATTTTGTATTAAGAGAATAAATTTATAAAATTTTAATAGATAAAAAATCTAAAATTTAGATTTTTCTCTTCTGACACGTTGATGAAAATATTAGTAATGTAAAGTGAGTAATTTTATATTAATTTAGAAAATGTTATCGTTTTCAAAAGTGTTTATATGTAATCTCACATCTTATCTTAATTGATTAATTGGATTTAAAGCCCAACACATATATTGTCATTGTTCGTTTAGCCTAATATATATTAACAATGTGTTTAAGATACATATTGTGCCTGTGCTTTCTATACCATTTTTATATATTTTATCAAAATATAATATTTTATGGAATGAAATATTTTACTATTTTTATTTACATTCAATTGATATTTACTCTCAATCACTAAATTAAATCATGTATATGTTAATATTTTATCAAGACTTATATTTAAACTTATAGAAAAAATAAGATATGTAATTATAAAAAATGGGAATTAGGGTTTTAAAAAAATCATCAAAATTAAAATTTAATTTAAACTATATCATCACTTCAAAATTAAATCAAATTATTTTTTCACTTCATTTGAGAATAAAATATTAATTAAAAATATTATTTTATGTTTATAAAATTCATATTCAATTTAGTTCAATTTTTAATAAGTATTATAGATTAATTAAAAACAATTAAATGATTATTTATTTATTTTTGTAAAATGTATATTAAATTTGGTTCGATTGTTATTTAAGTATTATATAAATGATATCTAATACTAAGTATACTAAGAAAATTCTTAACTTCACTTATAAAGTTAGGTGTTGACCCTTTTCAAAAAGCATAAAATTAAACTCATAAAATCTCAATATATATACAAATTGGACTAAAATAATTTTTACAAGTAAATTTGAGGATCTTGTTAAATGAACTAAACCAATCATGTTTTATTGATGTCAAAAAAAATATCATTATTTATTTAATACTTATTATAAAACTTTCAGTTTAGTATTTTTTTAGTATTATAGGTTAACATAAATGTTAATTTAATTAAATAATACAAAGTAATACACAAAACATAATATTAGATTTGATTTAAAAAAATAGTTAAATGATTAAAATAAATACACATAACCAACAACTGTTTGATCTGGTGGGATGAGGTACTAGGTCTTAATCCTGGCGTTTGAGAATGGAGCAAACTGGGTTGGGAGAGTTGCCCTCGCCTCTGCAATACCCGATATGGATTAGTCGGTCAATAGATCGGATACCAGTGATTAATTCAAAAAAAATGCACAAAAATAAGTAAAATACTAAATAAATAACTTACCTATTTATTTTATTTTATTAAAATAAATAAATAAATAAAGTGATTACCTTTAATTTTAGAATTAATCGCTGTCACCGTCAATGGGTTAGGTTTGGGTTAGGTTAAATTACATAATGAATGCACGTTATTACTAAAGTTCAGCCTGTGACATTTTGGCAGCTTGCTTTTGTCAAACTTATCAATTTAAGAAAAATTGTTTAATATACTATTAATTGCACAGGTAAAGATTAGAGTGACACGTACCTCTTAGAGTGTAGTAAAAATAATAAAAATTTAAGTAACCGTAAGAAAATGTAATATTTTTTTTAACTACCTTCGTAAAACTAAAATATTTCAAAAACATTCTTAATCTAGTATCATGTGGCGAGAGCTTATTAATTACTCATTCTAATTCCTTGCTTTCAACAATTTATTACTCCTGCCTTATTCATAGGGATGAGGATGGAGTAATGGTTCATTTTCTTATTTACTTGGTTTCTTTGATTATGTTTATGAACTTATACACACCCCTTTTTGTCCAGAATTAAAAAATATTATATTATTATTATTAATAAAATTAAATTACATTTTGCAGGCCTAATCCCAGCCCAGTTACAAGCCCACCAGGATGCCAACCCAATACCGGAGCCCACAAAGATAACACACAAGACCCAATAGCAGACCCGGATCCAGAGGAGAACCCGAACTGGCCCAATATCCGACCCAATTCAGCCGAACTGACCCGATTAGGGTTTCGGGTGAGTTACAGCGCTGCCTCAATCTTAACCCTTGGATCTGGACCCATCCAACGGTCCAGATCGCTCCAGGGAATAGGGTTTGAAACCCTAAGTGTGCCAGCCGCCGCCGCCATTGAAGAATCTGGACCGTCCATCGGTGCGTGAGATTCACGCGCTCCTTCAGATCGGCGCGTGAGCTGTCGCCGAGTGTTCCCGAGCCTTCTTGAAGCCATCGTAGTCAACAACAAATACCCAAAGTCAGCCAAATCAAGCCAAAAGTAAAAAAAAGGGATAAATTCCGAATGATCTGGTATTTTGCCGAAACCCACATGCAACCATTATAAAATGAGGATTGGAGAGCAAGGGGAAAAATACAACATTGGAACGAAGCAAAAAAAACATTTTCAGCCAGATTCGAACCAAATACCGAAGAAAAAAAATAGAAACTCACCTCAATTCGAAAGGCCAGAATCCCAATTCGAATATTTGGAAGGTAAATCTATAGATTTGGGTTGTTGGGTTGTGTTGTAAGCTACGGGGAGGCTATATTTAAGTTGGGGGTGACGAATGAAAGGTTCTGGAAAGTTTGAATCCTTTCGGCCCCGTAAGCCGCCGCAAGCTCCGCCGTGAATCCGCCGGCGGTGGCCCAATCGTCTTCCCTGACGAAAGAAAACCGAGCTCTCTCTCTGTTTTTGAAAGTGAAACCAAATGCGGAGAAATTGAAAATTTAAGCGTCATTTTGGGTTTAAATATCCAAACCAAAACGCAGTCGTTTTGGCCCCCAACCCTTCCATTTTTGAACAAAAGAGGATAATAATGTGTTTACTCCCCGTGCTTTGTAACTTTATTTTTCAGCCATTAAATGAAGTTATGTTTATTTCGTTTTGAGCATTTATTTTTAAATAATTATATTTTAGTCATGTTGTTTTACATGTCATGTACTTTTTTTGTTAATATTTGAATTTGACCCTAATATTTTTTATATTTTATTTTAGTCATCTAATGAAAGATTACTATATTATATTCGATAATGAAAGATGTAGTATACATGTCGGTAAAATAGCAGTAATGCGCAATATTTTTATTGTTAGGAATGTGATCTCAATTCTCTTAAGTCAAATTTTTTGCTGTGGAAATAATTTTATGCATTGCTTTGTTCAAGAACTTCAACAAAAATGGAATCCAATTCCATAGGTTCTACTAAGTGGTTCCCACATATATATATATATATATATATATATATTCCTTTATGACTATTCTACAAAGCAACGATTTTTTTTTGTTTTTTTTCTCATTTATATTTTTGTTATTGATTTCATGTATTATGTATTTTTGCTAATATTTGATTTTAGTCATGATATATGTAAATCTTTTATTTTA